GTGCACTGAGAAGGCTGGGAAGAGGCTGGCAGCTGTTGAAAAGAGCTGGGATGGGGCAAGGATGACACCCAGGTTTACAGGTCAGGCCTGCTAGCAAGGTGGGCTCACTGTGCTGTCTGTTTCTTCATTGTGGAGATAGGGGCCATCAGAAAGGTTAAGTGAAATATGCAGGGAAGAGAGAGGTTTGAATAGGTTAGTTCCTACTGTATACCAGGCACCTAAGTGTTTCATGTTGTAAACAAACTATTTTTGTGCAGAGACATAAAAAAGGGAGCTGGCTGGCCATTCAGCTGTCCACCCAGCACTGTGCTGCCCAGGAAACCAGGATGGGAGCCCCCAGAGACTCTGGGTGTTCTGTCTTTGAGGAGATTATTAGTAGACACTGTAACGTGAAAGGGATCTACAAGTGCCTGCTGATGACTGAGTTGGTTTTTGTTTACAGCCCATCCAGATTATCAGCAGCACCATAGAAATGGTGAAGCCAGGGAAGTTTCCCAGTGGCAAAACAGAAGTTCCTTTTGAATTTCCTCTGCACGTGAAGGGTAACAAAGTTCTGTATGAGACTTACCATGGCGTGTTTGTCAACATTCAGGTGAGAGTTTCCTAATTTTGTCGAATTGACTTCATCATTTTTCTTATATAAAACAGTGTGGTTTGTCTTTCACTGAAAATTAATAGATGGACCCAAGAATTTAATATTGTACTTATTGCTGAGACCTCTGTTGTTGTTTTGTCATTTTGCCCTGTAAAATGCTAATTTTTATTTTTGACAGGAACCCTGAAGGACCTGTGCTATAACTTCTTTTTTCTGTTTTTTTCAGTCTCTTTTCAGGCCACACTGACACCCCTAACTGCCTTCTGGCACCAGCATTAACTGTCTGTTTTGTATTTATAACTATCTCTTTGTTTTATACCCCCAGGCAATTACTTTAACATAGGCGTCTATTCTTTAGTGAACAAACCTTGTCAATGAGGGGAAGTGGATTTATGACTTCCTGTCTGCCTCTGCTAGTTGAGGATGTCTTTCACAGTTGCTATTGTTGTCTCAGGAACAGTGTGGAGTCATGACTCAGGTCAAGAGAAGAGCTTGCCTTTTTTCAGCAGAAAGAAAGATACTTTTGTGATAGCCTTGTAGCGGTTCCTTGCTATGAGATAAAACTATTCAATGTTCCATGTAAGGGGATAGAAGTTAGGAATGTTTTTGATTTATGAATTAAGTTTTAGTTAATAATTTGGTCTTGATAGAGCTTACAATAATAGCACCTTTAAAATAAGAATCTTCTAGACACCTGTGAGGGTTTCACCAAAAGTTTGTCTGTTGTGTTGAGTTTTATGAGCTGCTTAAGAAATTGTCAAGAAGGATCACAAATAATACGATGAACTCTATTGCAATAAATGTTTCTGTGAAGAAAAACATGGTTCCAGTTCTTTATCATTAGCATACCTGTGTCAAGGCAATATATGTGTATGTAAGGATATATATACATATATGTGCACACACACACCAAAGGCTTTGGACAACTCCTAGGAAGTAACGGTAATGACTGGGTAAGTATCTAGATCCAGGGAGAGCTAAATCTGTTGACATAAAAATACCAATTGCTGGTACACGGACATGAGTCTTATGACCGGCTTTCCAGGTTGGGAATATTTCTACCATGAAAGAAAGTGATTATTATCTATCTAGAATCAGCATCAGCTTGCTTTATCTACACAGTAGTTATTTAATAGTATTCATTTTAAATACAAGAATATGTTCATTAGAATATATTCAGCGGAATAAGATTGTTTTCACTGATCATACCTGTTACTTTCTCTGATATTT